TGACAAGCAGCTAAGCAGGATTATTCAAAATCAATAGTATGTTACAAAAATACAATGCCATCACAAAATGCACAATGTAAAACAGAAGAAAACCTGAATAGAGTGCAAAACCACAAAAATTTAACACAGCCTAATACAGCAATTTCCAGTAGAGCACAGACAAATTCTTTAATAGGTCACACAATACTGCTTCTCAAGCCATTCAAATTTCAGGACATATTCAAGCATACCATCTTCCCTCCCTGTCCTACGCACCTGAAACTACTTTTAATGGCAAGTATGTAAAGGGAAAGTGCATGGTGAGGTTTCACCATGGTAAAATTCTCAGGGGTGTGTATGTGGGCATCATGACCACAAGTTTAAAGTGGAGAGAGACCCTGCCCTGAAGTCCAGATATAGTCCTTCCAAGTTCACATAAACAAAAGGAATTACCAAAGAGACACTGCAAGAAAAAGTCAGTCTTTAGTAGAAAGGATTTGATAGTATTGTCGTGTAAAATATGTGTTCTGTGCTGTGCTAGGAAAGCCCAAACTGTAACATTTTGGCAACAAAGCTGGATTTCCTGTTAATGTTAGTAGTGAGAAGAAAGTGGAAGAGAGTTATTTTATGCATGTATAGATTACCTGCCAAGAAGTTTATGTAAATTATTATGAAGATAATCTCCATAAAATAATCGAATTGGATACCTTTTTGAATTTTTAGGCTTTGAAACATGTAAGACTGTGTTTTGTTATGAATCAAAATGTTTCCTCAAGGGATTATGAAAATGGATTATAAAATTTAATGGAACCTTTTTATTTCTTCAGCAGGCATTTTTCTGTCTTTTCAAGAAATTCTGTCAGGTTGACAAAGATTTTGATACAGCAAAAGTAGAAAAAGTTTGTGAAATACCTGTTGTTGAAATACTAGTGATATGCTTAAAGCCCATGGACCAAACATACATTTGGGATTAAGTAGGGACTGTTTGGGGTTTTTTAACTGAAGGGCAGTTATCAAGTAAGATGACAAAGCAGTCCTAAATAAAATGCTCTCCTACTGCTGTTACCATAGGCTGTACTTAATTTTTTTTTTCCAGTTGAGGAAGAGCTAGATATCAGAATAATCTATGAAGCTATTACTTATCTCATTTACATTATGTTCTTTCTCTAAAAATTCCAGAAATTTCTTGAGGAGAAATAGGAAGGAAAGGATCTTTTATTTTCCAAAAGTAGCAAAATATTTCAGACATACAAAAATTCACCACAAATTGCTGCTAAAAATATAAATTACACTTAAATTAAGTGTTACAAATCTTTTTCACAGCCTTCTTGGAAACTCTTAATTTTAAATTATATCCTCATTTTTGTGTGGGTATTTTAAGATATTATTTAAATAACTGAAATAAGATTTTGAATAACATTTTTTCTGGAACTTTTTTTAAGTATCAATGAGTAAAGAAGCATATTTGTTGATAATTGGTGTAACATTTTTGGAAGGAAATAAGAATTAATGGAAATAAGACAATGATACACACTGTTATAATTCTACTGCAATTTATGTTGGCAATCATCAGCATAATAGTGGGGCTTGTTCCCCATAGTGATTTACTACTAGCATTATATAGCCAAAGTGCACAAAGATCCTTGAAAGCAGAGTTTTAGTCTCACACACACACTTTTTTTCCTGACCTGTAGAAACACAGGTACACTAGCATTGTCCCCCCCCCCCCCCCCCAGTAGTGAGTCATCATATAGTAGTTGTCAAAGTGCACAAAGAATCTTGAAAGAAGAGTTTTAATCTCCCACATGCACTTTTTTCCTGACCTGTAGAAACACAGGTACACTAACATTGTGACATCCCCCCCTCCCCCAGTAGTGAGTCATCATATAGTAGTTGTTAACTGCCTCTTAGTACTTGTTGTGGCTTTAAATAAGGGATGCTATAAAAGGAAGCTAATGTTAATGATCATTCTTGCAGTGATTTTTAATAAGTAATAATGTCAATAGAATAAAACATTTTCACAGAATAATAGCCTCCTGCTCTTTTTCTAAAACTGTGATGATTGAAAACAACAGAAGTCTTGTTGACTTTAAATTATGAAATTTAAAGAAATTCGGGAGCAACAAGCCTTATGAAATTTGACAATTTTTGAAGAAATGTCCTACAGTTGTGGAAACTAGCTAAGAATGTAAGTGTTGCTGAATAATACCTTGCCCTGAGTCATGTATTTGCAGGCTTGGAGGATAAATCACTTGAAATAAAACCAAATTACTTTCAGGACATAGAGTTCCTGTGCTCTCTGAAGTGCGATTAATTTTGTGGCAATACAATATAATTAACTATGTAACTGATTTTTTTCATTTTTATATACATAGAAATAATACACTTCTAAACATCCCAGAGTGCGTAAGAAAGTTTAATTGAAACTTCCAAGATGATTTTATGGAGCAGGAAAGTCTATGGACAGAAAGAATTTGTGACTTCTCTAGCTCAACATTTTAGTTCACAACAGAACTATGATTATGCTTGCAGATTGTTAACCTACAGTTTCCTGATTTACAGGATTTTAAGGTTTTCTACATTAGGATTAGAGTGGTGTTCTAACTGGCTGGCTTTCTGACAAGCAGGTAGTAAGATTTCAGTTTCTGTCCCCAGTTTCAATCCTAGGTAACTCTATTTTTGTGCAATGTATAAAAACTCACAAAATATTCTGTATTCTTTTCCGCACACATATTCAAAATGATAAAACAGAAAAAAGGTATTGGGAGCCAAAGATTAATTTATACTCTTTTAGACCAACTGGTTGCAAAACATATTTGGTTTAAAAGGCACTTTTTTTTTTTTTTCCTAGTCGCCCCATGTAATTTTCACTTTAAACGTCCAGCTCAAAAGTTTCATAGAAACTTTAAAAATAAAAATAATCTGACTTATTTTTTTATGTTAAAGAAAGGCCAGATATATACACTTTTATTCTCAGGTTCTTTTCTGACATGTCTAAAATACTTTGGAATCAATCATTAAATATTAGTATCATAGTATGTTCTGTGTTGGAAGGGACACCTTCCACTGGACAGGTTGCTCAAAGCCCCATCCAGCCTGGCCTTGAACACTTCCAGAGATGGGGCAGCCACAACTTCTCCGGACCACTGCCTCACCACACTTATAGTGAAGAATTTCTTCTTAAAATCTAACCTAAATCTACCTGCTTTCACTCCAAAACCATTCCCCTTTTTTCTATCACTACATGCCCGTGTAAAAAGTCCCTCTCCAGAATTCTTCTAGGCCCCCTTTAGGTACTGGAAGGCTGCTAGAAAATATCCTCAGTGCCTTCTCCAGACTGAATAACCGCGGCTCTGAAAGTAGATGGGAAAGATCACCTCCTTCTACCTGCTGGCCACACTACTTTTGATGCAGCCCAGGATACAGTTGGTTTCTGGGCTGTGAGTACACCCTGAAGCCAGCTCATGCTCAGTTTCTCACCAATCAGCATCCCAAAGTCCTTCCCCTAAGGTCTTCCCTGTCCAACCTGGAGCTGTGCCTGGGATCAACCAACGCAGATGCGGGACCTTGCACTTAGCTTTGTTGAACTTTGTCATGTTTGCGCAGGCCCACCTCTCAAGCCTGGAAAAAGAATATGCCATTTATTGATCAAGTTTTTTAAAAAAAACAAATGCAAGCAACAAAACTCCACCACGAGAAACCCACAACAAAATGTAAAATGAAAACCCATAAAAAACAAAAGGCAAAACTGATTTCTTTAATGAAGTACTACAGAAAAATTGTAAGAACTTGGCAACATTGCAAGCACCAAATGGATAATCTGTTAATAGGATGTCTTGAATAAATTTAAGATTGCAGTGATATACATATTTCCTCCAAAACATGCAGATTAACAGTATAGCAATTTAACTACTTCTTTTGTATATTTATTACCATTAGCATAAAACTAAAATAAATTTAATATTATGTTGATGCATTTTGTTCTATGCCTCCTTTTTTTTATTGTTCAAATGAATGTGTTTTTACTTCATGTATTGTCTAATATTTATTTGCCAGATTTTAAATTTTGAGCATTAATCTTCATTAATGTTGTACTGGAAAAAGAAAAATGCCTGTAGACAAAAAGTTGAAAACTAATTTACTGCAGGAAAATCCATTTTAGATTGTTCTTATTAAGCTAATGGGTAACCTCCAGCCTTATTAATGAAATAACCATGGTTATAGTATTGATAAATTTAACAAATCTTAGCAATTATAAAGAAATGCATCCGTGTCTGTGAAATGAATATTAATTCAATGATGAATCATTTGTATTTGGTGATCACAAAGGAGATTTGCTGTACTAGTATGTTTTCTTACTCTGCCTTTATAGAAAAGAAATCCATTTGTCCATCCCCAGATTCAAAAACATCTACCTCAGTCAGATTCTCTATTGCTTTTACTCTGATGCACTTTCATCCGCTGTCACAGAGCATTCTGATCCCTTTCAAACATGAAATGTATATACTTTGTTATTATTTTGATTATTTTGTTTTTCTACTCTTAGAACCAGAATTTTAGAATGCAGTCTGATTTATTTTTCTTTAATATCTTCTAAGCATTAAAATAATTTGTTTTCTAAAGGAACTATTTATGTTCAAATAAACTTTTCAAGTCATAGTTTGAACTGCTCTGGTGTACATTCTGAAACTCTTCAATTCAGATATCCCTGGAGTTTATCAGTCTCCATGGAAATTCACAAATTCTCAGTACCAGGAGAGAGCTTAAAACTAATTTTTCCTCAGAATGCTGTTGGGGGATATGGAGACAAAGACTGAGCACACTTGAAAGCTTAAGCTTTTATCAGGCTGCTTTTCTGACATAAAATGTGCTTATTTTGAAGCAGACTATTAGCCAATTGACTTTCATATATGTATATTACCTATTTCCAATATTGAATTATCTTTATATCTAGTGTATAATTCTTTATTATAATAATTTATTGTCAGTGGTGATGAAAGCTTTTGTTATGTGTTTTTCAGATCTCAGGATAGAGAATTTTTGATTGAGTTCCAAATCTGCAAGTTCAGGTGAGTAATAACTTTTCTTATTTCTTTAGCTTGAATTTGGATGGTTCCATGAACATCTGTATTCCAGCATATAACTATGTTTCCTGGAGCACTAAAAAAAAAAAATAAATCCTACCCAGTCTGTGTTAACTTCAGTTGGCAATATCAGTTATTAATTAAATCCTTTTCGTTTAAAGAGGTTGTGAGAGAAAAGGGATTTTTCCTTACTGTGCATCCGGAAAATGAATTTGTTCATAAGTTTTGTTTATTTGTTTGTTTTGTTTAGTATATTTTGACTAAAGAGACAGTGACATAATTGTACTTAAGTATTACATGTGTAACTTGACCATGTTTCATTTTGGTACTAATGTTAAAATTAGTCATCAGACTTAGGAGCCAACATAATTTCAAAGTGAGAGAGAACATGAACCAAAGAAGCACTGATCGGTAAAAGCAACAGAAGTTCTCCAGACATAAACTGCATTTTTGTATATTAATTCCCGTGTGAGAAACCATCTTTTAGCTATGTATAAGGGCTAAGTAGCAGTAGACACTAAACCCATGACATTGTGGGTTTTATCAAAATGATTTCCTACTAACAGAAGTTTAATGTGACAGTTTTGGAGAGTGAGATACAAGACAGATAATTGTTAAAAAGAAAACTAAAATTACTGGAAAATTGTGGTTACTGTAGTTTTGTGGGGGTTTTTTTTCTGTCTTCCATATCCTAAGATTTTGGAGAAATATGTATAATATGGTCATTTGAATGAAGTATGTTGCTGTTTAGCATGTTGCTGAAATAATTTAAGTACGGCTGTTGAGACAAACAAGTTTAAAAAGATTACCAAAGTATTCTCCTGAGTTTTAAACTTGTTTCATAATATCAAATATAATAGAGTACTTGTTTTATAATAAGGGACAATATGATTAGCATGCAGTTGAGATCAAACATATGAGGAAGCCTCATTTATACAGCACAAATAGTCATTCTATTTTGCATACATGGGCAGAAAACAATGTTCCTAGACAGTGGAAACCTAAGCCCAGGAGAACAGATCTGTCAGCTTTGTTTTGTGATCCCACTCACTGTGTGAAAGTAGTAGTTTAAAAACCACCATATTTGAAATGATACATCTTACCATGTTACTTTTTTTTTGTACTGAGTTACAGCTTTTGAGCTTTAAAGCGTATTTCTGTTTTAGAAGCTTCTGAATGTCTGAAATTTAGAATTTTGTAATAGTAATTTTAAAAATTCAAAGTATTTTTTCTTGATATTTTGACAGTTCTGGTGGGCTTTGTTTCCATCCCGTTTCTTTTGGCTTTCCATGATATTTTTTTATTTCTCTTTTTCTCATAGTTCTTGAGCAGTTGAATTGATTATTGCTATTCCACATGCTGCACAACACAGTTGTAGAATCATCCCTGCAATAGGTGATTTACAGGTGTCTATTGTAAGTCTATAAATGCTTTCAAATTACAAATTCCCCAACATCTAGTTATTTTTGTAGATATCAAAGTGTGTACAGGAGTATGAGACTTATTCAGATTCCTATAAAAGACCTGCACTCCTAGAAATTCTGTAGTAGTAATCAATCTAATATTAGCAAAACTCTTAACTGTATAGATATCTGCCTTGTTGTTAATATCTGGTGATTGTGAAAACACTAAAAGTGTTTAGAAACAGTACAATGAAGTGTTAGAGAATTCTCATAATAACACTGTTATATTACTTAATATAAGATTACTGGTGATCGATTTTTTTCTTATGTTTTGAACAACTGATGCTATATAAAATGCACACAAGGATATGTGTGTACATGTGGTTGGTTCATGTATAACAAAGCTTTCTTTTTGAAGAAAGAAATAATGCAAACCCAGGATACCTCATGGCTTGATGGACCAGGGTTTTAACATATTAAAACACTTTTTTATGCTCATGAATATAGGAGGCAACAGAGATATACCATGAAATTATGATATAGTAAGATTTTGTATGATTAAAAAAAAAATTAATCAAATGATAAGCAACAGAAACAATCAACTTCTATAGAAGAATCCATAAGACCCCACTATGTGTTTAAATTGCATCCCTTCAGTTTAGCATACTTGGAGAAATTAAAATATACAGCTGATAGAAATTTACTATAGAAGGGGCTCATTTCCAGTAGCATAATCTTTCTAATCTATTGAAAGTATAAACAGCCTAATTAATTTCTTTCACAAATTGACAAAGTTAAAATGATGGGAATTAGACATGGGATGTTCCCCAGTGGTGTTTGTAAACTGTAGGTGTAGCTGATTTGTCAGAGAATGTTCTTACAAGAAGTAGAGAGAATAGATTACTTTGTTTTATTGGCCTGCAATCTGTGCATATAAAAAATGATGCAGATGACTAAAGCAGAACTAAGAAGGATAAAGACAGCTGCTGAAGTATCAAGGTATCCTTGCAAAATTTGAATCAGATCTGAAATCTGAAATTTAAATAGTGTTTTGTTGAGATAGAAGTTTAAACAAAATCTTGTGGTATGCCCAATTTGCTCATTTGTAATCGATACTTTAAAAAAGAGGCACAGACAAGTCTAAGTAGCATTCACACCATTAAAATTGTAGTAATGATTTTATGCATCTTACTAGGTTTTCTAAAAAATATGACATTAAAATGTATATGAATTTAAAAAATATTTAACAAACTAATGCTTTCAACTTCCCCCTTCACTTAATAGTGACTTGATCAATCTTACAAAAGTTTTATCAGAAAAAAGAAGCATTAGCTGATAGAGAACCACTGGATGAAAATTAGCCTTTCATTGGAAAACCAATCTCAGGAACTTTTCTGTCCCAGTATTGATGTCATTTTATGGGTACAAGTTACTCCAAAGGAAGTACTGACTTGAAGCAAAGGAATATTTTTCAGCCATTATAATAATCTCCCCATGGAAGTGGTGAGTTCCCCAGTATTGGAGGCTTTAAAGATTCTGCTGGACCTTCTTGTCTAGATGGTACTTTGTCCAAGATTGGACCAGATGATCTTTGAGGTCACTTGCAACCTGGCATTCTACAAAACAAAAAAGGAATAAAAACCCCAAACAGAAAGAAAAACCAACCAAACCCAAACACCCCAACAAACAAAGAAAACCAAACATTCTTATTCTTTTACCCATTTCTTCTTATGATTTTTAAAAATCCTCTCTTGCTTCAGATTATTTTTTTTTAAAGTCCTTCCACTCATACACTTTATTTTTCTAATGCTTCATGTGATTTAAGAAGGCATATAAAGGTTCAGTACCTTGGCCAAATTTCTCAAAAAAACCATCAACCAGCCAATCAAACATGAAACATGTTCCTTTAGAGATAATTGTTAATTAAAATACAATGGAAAGAAACAAGCATCTCTTTCCAGGACATCTTTCAGATAATCTGAGATAAGTCTATAAAAATCAGTAGGTAACCAGAGAAGTTTTGAAGGATGTTTCTTGACTCCTAGAATTTTAAGCAACTGAATGATTCTGATAATTGTCCATAACTGTCTTTCTCACATTTTGGTAGTTTTATGTCAGTGAAAGCAACATTAGGAAAGGAACTTGACAAGGATTGGGTGTTTCAGTTTTATTTTGTGTTCAGCATGTGATACCTGTTTCTACTACCTGGCACTTAAGAGAAAATGATTTTCTTGGCCATAAAACTGTAGGGAGAAGCATCAGAATTTACAATCTCAGAAATGTCATAATTAAAAAAAAAAAAAAAAAGGTATTAAATAGTCTGATCTAGAAAACTTATAAACCACCAAACAAAAAAGCAAAATACTTTGGTTACAAAGAATTAAGGGTATTTTTGAAGACAGAATTTGCAGAAGTAAAATTAAAATCCCATTTACCTGAATATTTCTGAATGCTGAACCATAAATTATCAGGTATATGAATACAGGTATGCTTGTATTTTCATTGCAAACCCTTGCTGTTAGATACTACATTTAGTACTGTGTTTATTTACATATAGATAGATAGTCATAAACACAAAAAATACATGTGTATATGTGTTTAAAGGCACATTAATTTTTCTAAATGCATTCTAGATCTGATCCTGTTCAGTCCTTGAATGTGCCTTTATGCTTTATAGATATGCATGCTTCTGTATATTTATACATTTCCAATGAGACAGGCAATGTCTTAAAAGCACTGCAAAAGTTCTGAGCTACTATTTTAATGTAAATTTCAAGCATGCTAAGTGTAGTAATACAGAAAAAGCCAATTCAGCAATTATCTTTTAAGTACTCTTTGTGGCAGATTCACTAACCTGTGAAACGGTATGGCTAGAGATTTTGCAGATCATGCCATAGTAAAAGTTAAAAGGTTGCATCTAAATTGGGAATGAGGTCTGTGATTTTTTTCTTACTTTTGTGACATTAACATTCTCTATGAAACATGTTCTATGCTTCTGAAAGATTAAAATTTATCACCTAAAAATTATTTCTTTTACTCAAAACACAATGTAGTCACCAAATTAATTTTTTATTAAGGAGTAACACCAATGAAAAGTTAGCCAACTAGCATAAGATGTGAAAAAAAGAAAATGAAAGGTCTTTTGTTGGATATAGATTTCATTTTTTAGTAAGCATACTCTGAAAGTATTGGTTAAAGAATCCTACCATGGCCACAGCCAAGGGTTAATTTTCATTAGAATGATGCTATACGGTCTTGATATTCTGCCTTTTGTACCGCTGAGAATGTCATCACATCTCCTGGGAGTATGATTATTTCTGAAGTTAAAATCAGCTTTAAAAGAAAAGGCAGTTTGAATCTCATTTTCAGGTGGATGAAGCTAAACATACAGTAGGAGTAAATCTCTTCTCAAATAAATCAGAGATCCACATTACAATTCTCAGGGTTTTGCAATGCTGGTTATATTCAGTTCTTTATAGAGAACTTTGTTAGTTTCATCCAGTAGTAATTGCACCTTGAAACTTGCTTACAGACCAAGAAAGAGGGTTTATGGATAAAGGGACAGGACTATCCTGTAAAGTTG